CTGACATAAATAGTCCTTGGTCAGACTTGGCTTCGCAAGTTCCAAACTGGTGCTGAGAAATGATCTGGTGAATGTTTCAGTAGGACTTAGCTGTCAAGGAAAAGGATGATGGATAACCAGAAACATGTTTGATCTAAAGTATTAATTGGAAGAATAATGCCTTTCTGATCTTTTGCTTTGGTAACTTTTCCGCTTACCAAAATGAATGTCACACTTACTCACTTTTGGATGTTAAATTCTAGGCTAAAACCCTTTTAAAGAAGAGGTTTGAGGAACTGAAATGTTACCAAAGAGAAAACTGTTCAATTTAATTCTCTAATCAAGTGTTGCCTGCTGGATAGAATTTAGCATAATCCTAATTTTGGATCCTTTCCCTTTCATTCTTTTTCCAGAAAGTTGAGAATTAGTATTTCAAAAACAGGTCAATAATTTTGAGAATTCAAAGATAGCTTATCACTAGTAAAGTTTCCAATTGAAAAAGTAATTAGTTTGGTTGAGTTGAACTCTGAGAAGAGGATTGAAGAAGACTGGCAACCAGAGTGTCAAGGAAGGAAGACCCTTTTCAGGAGCTCTTTATGTTTGTAATTCTGTTTGATTCTAATCAAGAAAGGGCAGGATAACTGCCTAGGCCTTGAGGATTTTCAATCTCTCTGTCCCTCTCCACCTGTCGTGATGTCTGTGGCACCATCCAGTTAATATTTCCCCCAAATTCCCAATTTCCATAGACATGTTAATAAATATTTGTGCTGAAAAATGATTCTGACCTTAAATAAGTTTGGAGCACCCAGAGTTAAAGTTTAACAGACCTGCTGTCTCTGGGCCTTCTTAAAAACCTTAATATGTTAATAAACACTGGATCCTCCAAGAGGGATGTACAAAACATTAGCTTCCTCATTTGACTGGACTTGACCATGAGCCATATTTTTTATGAACTGTTTCTTTCAGTAAGTGTTCGGCATCCAGGCATTGTGGCACACATCTGTAATTACAGCAATCTGGGAGGCTGAGACAGAGGATTGCAAGTTTGAGTCCAGCCTAGGCAATTTAGCAATATCCTGCCTTAAAAAAATGAAGATGTACATCGGTGTGAACAATGCAAAGAGTTCAATCCCCAGAATGAAAAATAAGCCAACCAACTAACCAGAAACAGAAATCCAACATCAAAACGCTAAACTGGTACATTCTACCTTGAAAAATGCTGGTCTAAAGAGGCTGGATTTAACAGACTTCAGCAGAATTTAATAATCTCTAAATATAAATGAGAGAGTAGAAACTTGAGTGGGTGGATGTACAGGATAGGAAATTTCTGGAAATATCAGTGGTTAACAAAAACCCTTTTGAGAAAGTAAAGGCATCATAGACTATTGAGATTTAGAGAAAAAACAAGTTAATAAAAGCCACTGATACTCTTTAACACATTAGGTTTCCAAACAAACCTATATTTGTAGGTGTTCGAAATCTGAGACAATTGGTAAGATTCATCTTTTCTGGGCCCGAGCTTCATGTGCAAATGAAGATAGTGATGCCACCTCATTGGGCGGTGCAGGGACTAATGGGGATGATGAGAACACAATCATGAGTACACAGCAAGAAGCACACAGAGGGTAGCTTGGTTCTCATGGTGACAAGTGACTTTAGGATTTCAAAGACATGATGATAGATTTATGTTAAGATCACCCGAGGGAACATTTTCAAAATATGTGTGCTCAGATCCCTGCTCAGTCCTGGTGAATCATAAGTTAGTGGTGGCAGTAGGGAAGGATGGATGCATGTACATTTTAAAATGTTTCCCCAGGGATGATTATGATATACTCCTAAATTTTCTTAATGTTATCTGCAGCAAATCTCTAAGTGATGAGCTATCAACCCTATGATAGTTTTAGGATATAATCCCTGGAGTAAAAAGTTGCTAGGCTTAAATGTTTAGAAATGCATGTTAGTACTCGCTCCTTTTCTTCTTGGGGGTTATTTAAATATCAGAGAGAGGGCTGGGGATTTAGCTCAGTGGTTTCGTCACCTGCTGCGCAAGTGTAAGGACCCGAGTTCGATCCCTGGTATCAAAAAAAAAAAAATCAGAGAGGTTTTGCTGTACACGATATTTACAACTTGTAACCTACTGTCTTCTGATCTTGACTTTGTAACACTCATGTGGTGCTTTGGAAGTCTCACCCACATCTTCATTCAAATCATCAGGGCAATCCTATGGTATAGCATTAGCCAAAAGTGATCCATCCTCAGAAATCTTTTTGTGTTACAAAAGTGAGAAGCAAGGTAGCAAAGAGCAGCCCAAAGTCTTCCTCCCCAGGGAGTGGGCTGACATTTAATTCTACTACTTTAATCCTTCCGGCCACCCGGTACTTCTAGGTGGAAAGAATATTGAAAGTGATAAACATGTGGGTCCGAGTCAGCATCTCTAGGTAAACAAAGGGCCAGGGAGCTGAGTGACTGTAGACTTCTTTCACAGCTGGGGCTCTGGATAACTTTGAGTTCTGGTTCCGACTGTCCCAACCCAGTGACAGTAGGCAAGTTACATGCACTCTGCAGCCCAGCATCCTCAGGTGTAAATGGGAACAGTGATAGTTCCTATGTTTAAGGTTGTTGTGATGATAAATGAGATAATCATACAAAGCCCATCGTGTGGGCTCAGGCTTATTTTTGAATTAGGAAAAGGATACTCTTGAGCAAAGGGAAGTGGGGAGAGTCAAAACAAGAATAGAGAACTCTGGAAATCTTCAAGGTCAAATAAACCTTCTTTTCAAATATGAACTTACTTTTTTTTTAAAATGCCAAGTGTCCTGTGAGAATTCAGGGTTAGAGTTCAAGAGACTTATTAAATTGGCTGGTTCATAGCACTGGAGTGTGAACGACCCTTTCACCTGACTTCATTCTGGTTAAATCCCCAGCTATTAATTAATATGCAAGAAATAGTTTGGGAGCTACTGCCAAAGACAGACAGGAAAGGCACTGGCTGAAATGCAACAACACTGAAATGATTGCCCAAGAAAGAGTGAAAAAGATTCAGAATTGGATGTGGAGTTTGAGGTTAGGGAGGGTGAAGGAGAGAGTCATAAGCAAATGCGAGTTTCCTACCCTTAGAACTTAAAGAAAAGAAATAATAAAAGCCTCAGTGTGTCATGCATGTAGTCAGGCTAAGGTATCAGGCTTACACACATGCACACACACACATTCATACCTGCATGTGTATATAACATGTATTTATTATGTATTAAGTAACAATGAAAAAGGTTAAAAAACTTCCAGTCAAGAAACCCAGCCACCAGGCCCTGGGCCCCATTGTGGATTGCTGCTGCTGGTCTTGAACTCTGTGAGCTTAGACCAGAGCTGCTCCTGCTTTTTGTAAACACTGTGGTAACTCAGTGAATATGGGAGGGACAAGCAAAGGGGTGACAAACCCAGAGGCCGCGCCTCAGCTCAGAGACTGACTCAGCCTGCAGAATGAGGGGCAGACAGCCGTACGAGGATGACCGTGGTGACCTGGTTAGGGTCATTCCCATTTCCCAGGGCAGCAACTGCAGCCACAGGAGCAGGAATAGTTCACAAAGTAGGGTGCAAATTCTGTAGCTTGTTCTTCACTTTTCCTTATCCTATTTCAATATTGCAGCAAAACTGTGGGACAGCTGTTAGGATTCTCATTCAAAGAACAAGAGGAGAATTTTGAGGACTCAATGCAACCAAAGGATTTATTATTACTTTTTTTTGGTGGTACTGGGGGTTGAACCTAAGGCCTTTGCTCTGAGGTACATCCCCAGCTCATTTTGTTTTTTGAGATAGGATCTTACTAAGTCACTAGGTTGCCGAGGCTGAGTTTGAACTTGTGATCCTCCTCCCAGACTGCTGGGATTACAGGTGTATGCTACAGTGTCCAGCTAAAAGACGATTTTATGAGAACTGCTCATCAGGTGCTTTGGGAAGGGCAAGGTGAGGCAGGCTGTGCCGTCTCCTTTGGAGAAGGATCCGTCTGGATGAGTGAACTCCAGCCTGTGAGACCCTCTGAGGAATGGTGACTGTGCCTTCTTTCTCCCCTGTCCTCTGATTTCATCTCACCCAAAGAGTGGCAGAGTGAAGAAAAGTGATAGAATGTGTTTCTTTCCTATGGCTAGAGAAAGGTGCCAGGTTGGAAATGAAGCCCCACAAGGGAAGTTTTAATTGAAAATCAGAATATCACACCCAGCCTCAATAAATCAACATATATTGCCTGCGAAAACCATTTCTATTAGTACCAGCTCTTTATTACTCTCTTATCCTATGGCTGCCTTCATGCTAAGTGATTTATGCACATATCATGTAGTGTCCAGAATTACCCTGTGGGGAAGGTATCATTTTGTCCCCATTTTCCAGGTGAAGGAACAAAGATGTGGCAGGGTAGTAACTTGCCTAAGGTGAAATGGCTAATTAGTGGTGGTGTTTGGTCTTTAAATCCAGGTATCAGATCCCAGAGCCTGAACTCATAACCACCAAACAGTAATGCTTTCCCTAGCATGTCCAAGGTACCACCCACGTAAGTTTGAGGATTCAATGAAAGTTTCAGTGATCACTTCCTGCCCTTAAAAAGGAAGGTAGAAGTGGAAAAATAGTTACTCATACCTTACTGCTGCTTAGGAAGGGGCAAAGCAGTGGGGGGTGCCAGAGCTGGGTGGGGAAGGATGAGCTGGGGTGAACACAGAAGAGAGGGCTGAACAAAAGTATGTGAACAGTTCCTAGACTCCTTGGTTTTGAGCTCAGAGTAATTTTTAAGATGAACAGAGTGAGGCCCCATTTAGGAACTCTGACACCATCAGCAAGTTATTTAGCTTTTGTAAGCCTCAGTTTCCTTGTCTGGATATAGGCATAAAATCTGTCTCAGAGGAGCCAGTACTTCTAACATGCTTGGGAAAGAGGTATCGGCTGCTTTCCCCTGTCTGTAAGTTTCAGCTTTCCAGTAGCATTAGCTTGGTGCCGCCTTGCGACCTCTGCACTGACGATTGTAGAATGGGCCATACCTGCTGTGAGAAGCCCTTCACCACATATCTTTGCTTCAGGTTCGTCTCTCCATCCAGGTTGGCAGTTTCTAGGTGGCAGATCCCACTGGGGTCCGAGGAGAAGAGGAGCAGGATGTCTGCTGGGATGACCTCATTGCACTGCATTTGGAGGAAGTCGCCCACGCGCACATCCTTCCAGCGCTTCTGCACGAAGCTCTGCTCTGTCCTTGGGTGGAGAAAGACAGGGATCTCAGTGAGCTTTACCGGGCCTCAGGAAACTAACTGGTGAAGTCCCATCTGTACCTAAGTATTTCCCACGTCTGCCTGTCACAAGACTGCTCTGGATTCTCCCTGACCCCAAATGGCCACCGTCATCATCTCTGCAAGACAATGAGGCATGATTTATACAATTCCACTAGTAAAGGATTTGTCCTTGTGATTATTTAGAATTTTGATTAACTGCAGGCTATTGAACAGGTACGGTGTATAGCTTTTGCTTCCTTAGCAAGAGAAAAAATTTAAAAGGGACTTAATTATGTATGAATGGTACTATTAATGTATGTCACTTGCCAGCATAGCCACTAATCACCAAAGACCAAAGAAAGCAAAGTTATAAAGAACTGGGATTAAGATTTTTTTTGGTACTGGGGTTTGAACCCAAGACCTTGGCACTGAGCTACCTTCCCAGCCCCCTTTTCTTAAAACTTTGAGGCAGGGTCTAACTAAGTCACTGAGTTGCCCATGGTGGGCTTGAACTTACAATCCTTCTACATCAGCCTCTCGAGTGCTAGGATTATAGGTATTTGACAGGACACCCAGCTAGATGGCTTTGATTAAGGGGAGAAAAGTAGCAGTAATAAAGGTGAAGACATTGGCCACTATCTAGGGATATTTAGGGCAGTGATAAAAAAGAACTCTCCACAGCCATGGCATTAGGAAGAAGGCACCAGAAACTGATGGGAAGGGACTCAGTAACCATAGCATCCCAGGGCTGAGGAAATCTGAGGCAATGACATCCTCTATCTTCTTATTCAATTTATTAAGCTGGATAATAGCAGGAGCAGCAATGACCAGGAGTTTAGCATTTCTACCAAGCTGAGCACTAATGTCATTAATATTTCATTTACTCACATAATCATCTGTTGGCATAAATATTTTTTCCCCCAAAGCCTCCAAAAACAGAAGTGAAACACAAGCTTGGACTCAACCCGACACCAAAGCCCACAGCTGCAAGGCTCAGTTTGCAACCCCCTCTTCGGCACTGTCAGCTCAGCTCTCTCTCCTCCGGCACAGGTGTCCAGAACATTCCAATTTCACATCACTTGGGGACATCTTCTTTTGGTTTAGTCCAATATTTAAAGGTGTGTTCTGCTTTCCTAAAGGATCTGGTCTATCTCATTGTCCACTTAAAAAAATATTTTAAGTTATCCATCAGGGGTCCTATAAAGCCTTTTGTACAATGCTAATCCACATTCAAAGTGTCCTGAGTTATTCTCTGTATAACAGTTTCAGTGTCTATCCTGGAGGCTGGGGCTCTTCTAGGGCTGCATTTGGAATATTCCTCTTTCAATCTGGCCTTTGGACCCCTTCCAATGTTCCACATGTGGTCTTTTTACCTGAGCTCAGCTGGCTTGAGGCTGGGCACCTCCTGAGCACAACCAGGCCTGGACCATTGGGTTCTCTTTTGCTCTTGCTACACTGCAGCTGAGGCCCTCAGGGCAAGTTATTGTTTCTGTTGGAATCTGAGCAGCCCTGGGCCTTACATGTCCATTTTATTACAGAGACAGAGATGTGAACAGAAGCCCCAAGAAGGATGAGGTATTTGTTGTCTTCCTTGCCTTCTTGGGGCTCTCTGGAGAAACCCAGACAGGCCTTTCCTGGTCATAAGGGATCCTTCCAGAAGTCTTCCTTGAGCCCCTGAAAGGAAGGTGTTTCCATTTGGAAGGCCAAGGGAAGACTGATCAATCTTTAAAATAATCAGAGACATTACAGCTGGGGAGCGGCTGAGTAGAGGTGACCCCTGGGCCTGAGGTCTCAGTGCTGCGGACCCAGTTCAACCAATCCATGGGCAACACCACACAAATGGCTACTGAGACCACTTCTGAGCATTTGGGGGCAATGTGCCTGTAGCATTTTAGCCACAATTCTCCCTCACATGCATAAGCATACAAGCACCTCTGAATTGATTATCTCAGTCTATGCTTCTACTCTACCTTATGTCACTTTTTTAAACATGAAGAATAGGGCCAGTCACAGTGGGTTGTTTCCCTGTGTCACCTCAGAAATACCTATGTTTAAAGCTTTGCTTATTTATATGTTTACGGTGGATGCCTTTCCATCGAGATAACCGGCAAACATGTCAGTCTCTTTGCTGACTCAGGGGACCATACTGTTTTTTTCAGAGTAGGTCTGGGGTTGCTGTTTAAACATTCAAGCATAAGGTACTTTAAAGGCATCAGAATGGCCGGTATCCTCAGGGAGGAAAGGATTCTCATACAGTGAAGGAGGGACTGGTTTTCTATTGTACTGTTTTTCTTTTCAGAGACAGCTTTAAGAAAGGATTGTTAAACATTACAGCAAAATTGCCACAAGGAGCAAGAGATTATCAATCCTTTTATCTGCCTTTCCCCTTCCTTTTCTTGTTGGACTTCTGTGTTCTATCAGACAATGCTTTGGGGCTGTGAGGTATCAGTTGCACTATAACCTAAACATTCTGTCTGGTATTTGAGGTTGGATTTAGGAAGAACATCTTTGAGCAATGTCCTGATGGTCAGCACTTCCAGAGCACACTGTCCAAAGGATGAAGGATTTGGCAAAGGGCAGCTGGGATTGTTGTATTCTGAGATAAAGCAAAGTCAAAGGCCCAGTACCTTGTCTTTGAATACTGAATCTCATTCTTCCTTTTCTAATAAAAGACTCCGCTGCTTATTACGGGAGGTGGGTCATTTAGGTGAGGGAAGGTAGAAGCCTCTGGACGTGAGCTCTGGCATACAGGTGTTTATGAGCAGTCAGTTCTGTAAATGGGGCTGTGGTGCTGTCCTGTCCATCCCCACCCTGATGGAGGGGTCACAAGACTGATGAGATACTCCCAAGCCGTGTGCCAGAGCAGCCTCCATCTTATTTCCATTCCTCCTTGGATTCCAAGGAGGTCACCACTGACCACTGTATTGGCAACAGCTGCTTCTGCCATTCTCCCAGATGCAATCCTCTCTTCTTTAGGACAGCACACAGCAGGGAAAGGACTTTTCCAGGTACTGGTTTGCCCTCCTCGAGACAGGGCCTGCCTATCTTTGGTTTCGTGCTGTTCAGACAGGCACAACTACCATATGCCACTTCTTTAGAGGACTAAAGCTATAGGCTCAACATGATTTTGAGGTATTCATTAAAAAAAAAAAAGCTTCAGTGGTGGACATAGTTTTGTAACACATAATTTGAAGAAGTGCATTTATAGCAACCTTGTTATAGCTATGGAATATGAGGCAACACTCACAGAACATTTAGTGATAAAATAAATGAGACACAAGAGGAATTTCCTTCTTGCGGTTGGCCCCTTTGTGCAGGTCATGCAATTCTCTGGGGTCTCCTTTATCTTCTCCACTGTCAGGAACGTGTCTACGGAGAAGCCAGGGCTGCACAGCCAGAGGGATTGAGCCAGAGGAGGTGATGAGTGGCAGAATGTATTGAAGCGGTGAAGTGGGTGCTTCTGCATGGCGTTATGCCCAGCTGTGATCGGCAGCTGGCCGAGCTGCCCTAGGGAGTCATTCCCTCATGAATCCAGCCCGTTTGGAACAGCTGCCCCAGGTGGACCCGTCCACACACTCTCCATCGTGCCCCCACTCTGCGAGTTTGCACCTGGAACCTGACTGCTATTTTAGTTTCCTGTGATGTTCACTGGTGTTTAAAAATAAGGCAAATCAACATGGCTCGGGACAAAGACTCCATTTGGCAGATTCTGCCTCGAGGAGAAATTAAGTGGGGCAATGTTAAGCAGCTTTCTGAGGGGGATAGGGCTTATTAAGAGGTAGATAAACAGCAAGAGAGGTTTGTAACCAACACACAGGTTGGAACAGGTGAGAGGGGAGGAAGAGAGGAGGAGAGGACGCTTATGGCTCCATTTCTCTGGTAACTGGGTTTTATAAGAAGAATCTTGGAGAACTCTAGGAGAGGAGATCTGTCAGGAGGATAAGCTGTCTGGTGGAAATTGCTATTCAAAACAGGACAATGAGTTGACTCAAGCTGTCATGTAAAGCTTAAATGCCAGGCCCAGGACTCTCCAAGCGCCGGCCCTGGGTGGGTGGGTGGAGCGTACTGAGAAGAATGCGTGCAGCATGTGGATTAAGAACATTTTCGAATCCCAGCTTTTTCACTTCAGACCTGTGTGACCTTGGGGAAGTTACTTACCCTCTCAGAGCCTCCGTTTCTTCACCTGCCATTGGAAGGCAGTGTGTGCAACTGTCTCACAGAGCTGCCGAGAGGGTTTGGGCGACATGACCCCCAGAAAGGACTGAGGTCACAGCTCTGCATTTCGAAGTTCTCCATAAATACAGGCTTCCTTTATGATGAGGAGGGCGATAGCAAAAATGATTGCTAATGGTATGGTGTGGCTGCAAAATCAGTCTGCAGCCCCCAGACTTTTCTCCTTCATGTTATTTTTTGCTTTAAACTACATTTCATGGCTTGGGCTCAGGAAACAGCAACTTGTAAACACAGGAAACTGTAAAAATCCAAATCTTTGTTAAGCCCAGAAAAGCAGGACTGAGTTGAACACTTAAGGTTCTGGAGGGTGGTGACCAGGACACTTTCCCCGATGTGTACATCTCTAAGATCTGGTCTGGAGATGTGACAGAGCTCCAGTTCAATCCCCACTCTTCAGGTGGGGAAACTGAGGCTGGGAAAAGGGAATGACCTGGCCACGGTGCGCAGTAATGTGTTATTGCACCCTGAGGCTAGACACTGAGCTCTTCCCGTGGTGCCAAGGAGAATCAAGGGGCTGCTGGCTGATTTGGGAATCCTTGTAATGCCTCCTGTTGAGCAGCATTGTGTTAAACTGGAGACATATGGTAGCCCATGAGCTTTGGAGTCAGGTGAATTGCAAGTGAAACTGGGAACTATCTTTTCTGAGAAGTGTGACCTTGAACCTGCTACTTAACTTTCTGACCCTCAGTTTATGCTTTTATCAAATGGACAAATCTCTTCCACAGCTTGTAGTGGAACTTCAGGTACTAA